CGAATTAAAGTCCATTGCAGCAAGAGTAACTCGAAGTTAGTAAAAAGAGTAATAATACGAATTGAGCTGAGAATATATCAATTGGTGGTATAATAACTCGCATCATTCATGTGAGAGCAATATGTCAATTAGTCTGTTATAAAGTTTATTGAGTTATTAGTAACTCGAAGTAATCTAACTACTCATCATAACATCAATTAAGCTCATAACAAATAAATTAGTTGAATATTCGCTCAATGTAATCGAGTCATCAAGATGTCAATTAGGGCGAATTAAAGTCCATTGTGTCAGTAACTTGAAGTAACCAAGAGTAATCACAATGTGACTCGTGCTAATAATAAATTAGTGATTCTAACTTCGCTCAATGTCAAGTGTAATCATGATATCAAAAAGGCCGACTCAAACTCTTTGGGTCAATAGTAAATCGAATTAATGAAAGGAGTGATCATAATGGTAACTGAGCTGAGAATAAATCACTTGGTTGTATAAAAGCTCCAAGTAATAATGAGTGACGATTATGTCAATTATAGAGTCAAAAGGTCACTAGTTACTCAAAGTGATCAAGATGTCAATAATGCTGAGATAAACTCAGTTGTACGACTTATATATCGAGGAAAGGTAAAAAGTAACCACTACGTTAATTGAGTTAATTTAAATTAATTAATTAATTTATTAGAACCTCGAAGGCCCTAAAACAGGACATTATACAAGGGATGGGCAACTCATATTTGTACGTATACAAGACAAGCATATACACTCATGAACGTCAAAACAAAAAGAATCAACAAAACATTAAAACAAAACATGAGAAAAAGTTAAAACACACTTATATCTAAAAAAATACTAGTTAATTGTGGATTCTTAAACTTCGCCTTAACATTTTTTTAAAAATATATCTATATTGTTGGCTGTGACTGTCTTTGGGCAACGCGTTCCATTCCATTATTGTGAAAGGTATGGAGGCGTCAGCGTAGGAAGTTGTGGATGCATATATGGGTTGTATTTTACTGGTGTTACCTAATCTCGGAAAAGATAAAGTGGGAGGAGGAAATGGTTCATTTCTAATTGTTGGGTTATGGTGGTAGATCTTGTAAAACAGCGTTAAACGAAATATTTTCCGGCTTAAAGTGAGTTCAGGGAAATTTGCTCCTTTGCGCGCAGTTCAGACACGCTTATGTAAAAAGAGTAATCGGAGTCAATAAATCGTACCGTTCTTTTTGGGATACTTTCTATAGTTGATCTTTCAGACAAGTTTGCCACGTAGACCATATGGATGCAACATATTCTAGTTTTGGGCGCACTAATATTATATATGCCATTTGTTTTACTTTAGGGAGGCGATTCTTAATTTCCGTCGCAGAAAACCGAGTGTGCTGTTCGCCTTAGCAACAATGTGCTTGACGTAGGATATCCATGTTAGATCGGTAGGTATTTATAAGATGAGGATGAACCGAGTATAATATCGTTAATGCCAGGCACGCAGCCAGGATTTTCTTTTGGAAGGGGGGCGCCCATGACAAAATGCTGTATTAGGGGGAGGGGGGAGAGGAGGCCTCCGCAAAATGGAAGATTTGGGGGGGGGGGGGGGGGGACGTCCGGGCCCCATGCCCCCCACCCTTTCTTTCACCCTGGCTACGTGCCTGGTTAGTGCTGTAGTTATAAGAGGACTGTGATAAAATGCGAGAAAAGGTGAGTACTTTGCATTTATCTAGGTTCAGTGACATCTGCCAATTATAACACCATTGTGCCATGGATAAGAGGTCAGTTTGAAGGGACGAGTGGTCGTTAGTGTACGAAATACCACGGTAGATTACGCAGTCTTCTGCGAAAAGGCGGATTGTGAAAGAAACACAAAAAGGGAGGTCACTGATGTAGATAAAAAAAAAAAAAGAAGTGGTCCGAGCACGCTTCCTTGAGGAACGCCAGATATTACGCTCGTTTTGGATGATACTCAGTTATTGACAATGGTATATTGACAGCGATCAGAAAGAATTAGAAATCCAAGTAATGATGAAGGGGTCAATTTTTAACTGGTGAAGTTTCATCTTGAGGTGGTTATAAAGTGCTCTGTGGAAGGGCATTCAAAAAAAAAAAAAAAAACATCTTTATTTCCATCGATAATGATGGTGGGACCCGTGGAAAAAAGCTGCAATATGCAGTTTGACTGGTCCTCGGGCCCCTACAAGAATCAGCAGCAACAAAAAAAAAAAAAAAAAAAAAATATATATATATATATATATATATATATATATATACACAAAGAGCAACAATTGAAAAATACATAACTACACACTTGCCTGTTTGTGAAGCAAATAGACAAACACAAAAAAGCTACAATAAAAATTTACAAAACTATGCGCTTTGGCCTGTTAATGAAACAAAATAAAATAGAAAATAGAAATCATGTACAGATCAGGAGCAAAAATACAAACACAATCCTTTAGAAGTTATAGAGTCAAAATCTACATCATAAATATAAAAATTACTTCGCAAGTGTGGTAGGGCGAAATTAAGCTTTTGGAGACCATAGTTCGTTCGCTGAGTGACCAAGAAAGATAGCGTCAGTTTGTTTTTTATGTTTCGAATTAGAATGAATGTTTTGCACAAATTAGAATTACTTATGTACAAATCCGAGGAGTTGGATTTCGCCTGATAATTCTTTACTGAATCCGTGTTGGTTTCTGGTAAGAAGGTCATTAGATTCGATACATTTTTATAACATTAGAAAATATGATACGTTTTAAGAATTTTGAAGGAATGCTGGTTAGTGATAGAGGGCGATAGTTTAAAGCCGAATTTCGGTTTCCGGACTTATGGATGGGGATGACACGGCCAATTTTCTATTCACGCGGGACGTTACCTGACTTAAGGGATCCACGAAAAATGTCGGTTAAAAACAGAAGTGGTGCATGCTTCGTATTTGTTAATATTTTTGAGTTGATGAGGTCATCGCCAGAACTCGAGGAAAGTTTGTGATTTTCAATAGCGTTGATAACCACAGAATAGTCGGTGGTAGTGGTTTTATACAAGGATGAGGAAGGGCAGGAAGGTCCGTAATGTTGTTAAGATGTTCGCTGGTGAACACGGAACGGAAATAGCTGTTTAGGCAATCGGGAGACTGGTCGTCGAAGAGAACCAGACCTTCGGGTGAATAGTAACACGGAGTAACCAAAAGAGTAATAAAAAAATCTTAAATGAATTTTTGTGTAGTCGCATTTGTCATAAATGCTTCAAAGTAATCAACCGAGTATTGAAAATTTTGCTTTCCTGGAGTTATTCGTCAATAATACCTATATAACCAAAAAAGTAATCACAAGGACACATAAGCTTCTACAATGTTCTTTTTTTATTAATTCCTCGAAGTAATCGAGCGAGTAATCAAAAATATATCTTGAACTTTTATCACGCGAATTGTACTATCACTATGTCGAAGTAATTACAAGTGCCACGTCCAGTAAGCTTAAAGAATCGTTGGATCACACTTGACTTGGACCGCGAAGCTTGGATTTCAATCTTCGAACTTTTCTAACAATTTGAAAAACATATTGAATTTGTGTGAAGGATAGGGACAGGAAACGTCTAAATCAGGTGTTTCAGCTCATATTGTCGGGTGGTGTAAGTGTCTGACGCATGTACAAGAAGTAGGGCTTTAGTAACGCCATCTATCTAGAAAGATTAATCGAGCTAAAGGCAAAAAGTAGTAAATTATCGTATATTATCTAATCGGCTATCCTTCTTAAAATAAAGGGTGTCGTCTTACACCCTTTCGTCCCATATAAAGCACCCCGAAATTTCAGTTCGACACACAACGCAAGTCAGACAGACGTCCCCAAATTTTACCATGGGGTTGATAACGGTGCGATATAACTTATTCAACAGCTGAAGCACGCATCAAAAACCACTGAAAGAAAATAGCGAGGTTTTGCAGAAAAAAGCCAAGAAGAAAAAAAAACACCGAATTTTTTTTTTCGTAGTTAGTAACGCGTACATTACCTATTTTAATAAGTTGTACCTCATGGCTATCAAGTTTCTCGTGAAACTGGGTACGCGAACTGAAGTTTTGGGGTGTCTTATACTGGACAAAGGGTGTAAGATTAAATTTTTTTTTTCTGAGAATGTACATTGCATCTTTTTCTATATTATTTTCTATTTGCACCTGGAATTCCACCTGGAATCGGTTTGGAACCCTCATCAGAGCTAGCTTATTAACAATCTGGAATCAGTTCGGAACCGGGCAGCAAGATTTATCTTGTCCGACTATGACCGCACCACCAGCGTATCTGCTCTAAAAAATTAACTGAACCTCTCACCCCCATTACAAGTCCGCCGTAAAACTGCAACCCTTTCAGCACTTCACAAAATTTCCTATTATCATCCTACGCTTCGCGACGCCCTACTGCGTTCTGCCCTCCGATCATCGACCCGACAAGGGAATTCCCGAACAACCGCCCGCTTATCTGATAGCACGAAGGCATTCAACCACTCTTTCTTTCCCCAGACAATTGTCGACTGGAACAACCTGCCTGATGCCATCGTAACAATTGAAAACTCGGAAGCATTCAAAACGGAATTATCGAAATTATTTGATTAAACAGCAAGGTTTCATCTTGAAATGTGTTTATTGTGCCTAATGTTTTTTTTTTGTGCTTTTATGTGAACTCGTGTTAATGTCTGTATATTTATTTTACCTTGTTTCTGTAATTATTGTATGAAACTTATCCATGCAGCCCCCCCCCCCCCCCCCCCCTTTATAAAATGCTCTCACGAGGGCCTTTAAGGATACATGAATAAATAAAATAAAATGAATAAATAAATTTCACGTCGTATATTATCGCATGCGATCTACACGGCTACGTTGGATCACCTCCCAAATTCTTTTCTATTTGCGCCTGGAATTCGATATATATATATCACGTTATCGGCACACTAGAATCAGCTGACGACGTGCGTCACGCACGGCCGTTGCCGTTCACAGATCGCTGTATCGCAGTATAAAAAAGAGGATTCCCCGACGTTTGCAGCACCCACACACACCGCTTAGACAGAAACATGAGGTCCCTGATCGTCTTAAGCCTTCTTGCCGCGTTGGCATCGTCCACGTACGCCTCTAAATGTGTCACGTACGGTGTGTGCGCGCTGGACGAAGACACGGACAAAGAACTGCCCTGCAGCGCCGAGACAGAGCCCGTGCCCATGGCGAAGAGCGATCTAACCAACGCCTGCCCCGCCCTGGCAACCTCCGACGGAAAGGAGGTGCCCGTCTGCTGCGACGCCAAGCAACTCAATACCTTCGTTGACAGCCTCAAGCAGATCAGTATTCTCGGCGTGAGCAAGGAGAGCGCCTGCTTCCTCAACTTTCAGAACTTCATCTGCCAGTCGGTCTGCTCGCCGCAGCAGTCCGACTTCATCGCCGTGAACGCGTCCAAGTCCACCGAGAAAGGCAAGGCCCACGTCGTCGAGTCCGTGTACGCCATCAGCAAGACGTTTGCCGAGGGCGTCTACAATTCGTGCAAGGACACCAGCACCATCGTCCTCGGCCTAAAGCTCATGAAGTTCATGTGCGGAAAGTACGGCGCGTCGAATTGCTCGCCGGAGCGCTTCCTCGAGTTCATCGGCTCCACATCCGACGAGGGTGGCCAATCGCCCTTCAAGACACACTTCCTGATAAGCGAGGCTCCTGTGACGGTCAATGGCAAACAGCTCACGCCGCTTAACAGGCCTCTGCATAAATGAGTTAGTTCGGCACAATTACTCTGATTGTAGGAATGTTTTTGTTTTGTTCCTGGATCCTGAGTTAGGTACGGAACCTATACTCCTTACCCGAATTTATTACGCTTGTGATCCAGACATAGAGTGTTAATTTATTTTAGTCATCGGCGGTTCGAAATAATTGGGAAGATCTGTACCCACAGGTGCACAGTGTACGTTCTATTTGGTTCCCGAATGCGCTATAGGTATACGCGTCCGATAAATGAAGCAAAATAAAATGTATTTGAACCTCCGCCTTACTATTTACCTTTTGATTCCCCCGTGTCAGCCAGTGATGTTCCTTCCGCATTTTAAGATATTTTGTTCAGTTCACAATGAGCGAGGAAGCCGAATGAAAGGTTCAGTCGAGTGCGTATCTGACCAGAACACCAAACTGGGAATTTTTGTTTCTTCAGAGTGTTGTAAATAAGACGGTAAGCGGCGTCATTTCCGCGGCCTTTATATTTGGCGAATAGTGCAAACTGTCAGTTTCCAGAACATTTCGCGGATATAAAATTTCGTGAGTTTAAGTGGTATGTCGTGCATTATATAAAAAATATAATGATGTATTTTTTCTGATTCATTCGTAATACTTTTCGGGAAATTGGCGAAGATCAGGCATTCGCGAAATTTTAAGCCGTTCACAGTACTTGGTACATAGAAGCTCGCCTAAATTGCTGGCCATACCGACGCGCTTACCGCCCGTTTTTACGCGTGCGCGTTTTTTTTTTCTTGGCGGGAGGAAGTTACGTTTTCTTGCTAAATACGAATAGCGGAGCGCGTGACCTTAGCCATCTAAAGTCACTGGATCAAGTGACTTTATAGCCATTTTTAGCCTGCAGAACCCTAAAGCGGAACTTGGTGGCACTTTGCCGGCGGTATTTTGCGCCATGACATCATCTTTACTCTTGGCTACACGTGGCGGGACACTCGCCGTCTTCATGGTGAGCGCACCCTCGAATTGCTGCTCTTTAGAATCAGAGGGCCGTCCGCGATCCCGTTGAAACGAGAACACACAAAATCGAGTATAGTCATTTGCAAATCAGGGTAATTTCAACGCGTAAATTTTGTTTCAATCGACAAACGTCCATTGTTATTTTTTGATTGCAACATAATGATTTCACTGATAGCGCATAAGCCACGATGACAGTGGATTATTAGAGAACGACGCCCCTTCTGAACGGAACTGGAGTGGCTTCAATCGAATGACTAAGCAGAACATGTCAATACAATGTTCAGCCTCTGCCTGATCAACTTCCGGCGTGCCACGAATTCCCACGGAGGAGTGGCCTCACTCTTCAAGCCACTCAAGAGCACACCGTCACTCAAGAGCACACCGTCAAAGCAAGAGGCCTGTTAAGCGGCGTGAGCTGTTTGCCATTGATCGTGACGGGAGCCTCGCTTATCAGGAAGTGTGTTTTGAAGGGCGATTGGCCACCCTCGTCGGATGTGGAGCCGATGAACTCGAGGAAGCGCTCCGGCGAGCAATTCGACGCGCCGTACTTTCCGCACATGAACTTCATGAGCTTTAGGCCGAGGACGATGGTGCTGGTGTCCTTGCACGAATTGCAGACGTCCTCGGCAAACGTCTTGCTGATGGCGTACACGGACTCGACGACGTGGGCCTTGCCTTTCTCGGTGGACTTGGACGCGTTCACGGCGATGAAGTCAGACTGCTGCGGCGAGCAGACCGACTGGCAGATGAAGTTCTGAAAGTTGAGGAAGCAGGCGCTCTCCTTGCTCACGCCGAGATTATTGATCTGCTTGAGGCTGTCAACGAAGGTATTGAGTTGCTTGGCGTCGCAGCAGACGGGCACCTCCTTTCCGTCGGACGTTGCCAGGGCGGGGCAGGCGTTGGTTTGATCGCTCTTCGCCATGGGCACGGGCTCCGTCTCGGCGCTGCAGGGCAGTTCTTTGTCCGTGTCTTCGTCCAGCGCGCACACACCGTACGTGACACATTAAGAGGCGTACGTGGACGATGCCAACACGGCAAGAAGGCTTAAGACGATCAGGGACCTCATGTTTCTGTCTAAGCGGTGTGTGCGGGTGCTGCAAACGTCGGGGGATCTTCTTTTTTATACTGCGATACAGCGATCTGTGAACGGCAACGGCCGTGCGTGACGCACGTCGTCAGCTGATTCTAGTGTGCCGGTGTGCTCTTGAGTGGCTCTTGAAGCCACTCAAGAGCACACCGTCAAGAGCACACCGTCACCCTATGGCGGTGAATCACAAAAATAAATTTTGTCACAATAAATAAAAAAAATATGAACCGATATTTCGCTTTAAACGCTGCCCGCATCCGCCGCTAGGAAGCAATTTTCGCATTTCTTGATTGCACAACGAGCATGTCGCCTCCCCACGTTGACAGCTTGGGGTGAACGGAGTCTAGATGCCGGTGTCTTTCGTCAGAAGCCGTTTCTATACTTCGTTTCAGTTTAAGTCAGCTGTGGCAATAATAGCGTGAAGTAATCAAAAGAGTGATAACAAACTGCAATTGCACTTGTATCACCTGAATTGCATCAATGATAAGTCGAAGTAATAAAAAAGAGTAAAGAAAACGTGAATTCTGCTAAAATAAAGTCCAGTGCGCCACTATAATAACTCGTCAGTCATACGAGTAGTTACTCAAAGGAATCAAAATACTGAAAAAAATTCCAGTCGTCCCCTTAAAATCAAATTCAATAAACATGTTACTCTAAAATATTAAAAGGGCGAAACGCGACCACATAAAAAGGGCAACTCCGCTCAATTCCGAAAAATTTAGGCTTACATGTGATTCCATTTCCCAAAGCACTACTAAACAACTCTACGTCTTCGGATTCGCGAAATGTGGAATATTACTTGCGTAATCTTAATTTAAACATCAGCTGATACCGAACCGAAACTTTGGTTGCGTCAGGCAACATTGGTCTCATGTCGTCAGGGTCATGGCCACGTCACATCGAACCACGTGGTCTTGTGACGTTCGGGGGGGCGAGGGACAGGACACGCGCGTGGTCGGTGGTAGCCCGGGGGAGAGGGGGAAGGGGAGAAGACGAAAGAGGAGAGGGGGAGCGGAGAAACAGAGCGCTCAGGGCAGCGCAAAGTAGCGCATCCGCGTTACGGTGATCACGTGGACGCCGTTCAGCCAACACCGAGAGGAGAAACTCATGACGTCATCGTTCTATTTCGCTCTGAGAAGTAAAAACAAACACAACGTGAGAATGACGTACACATGCCTCTGACGTAGTGGCTCATCGTTTGCCGCTCCAACTCCGTCGCATTGACTGCGCTGATGATTGCGCCTCGCGCCGCACGCTAGAGTTGGCAGATTTCGGCGACTTGGCTCGTTTAGAAGCTTGCTGGCCAGTTTATTAAATATATAGACGAAATTAGATCATAATATTTGACAGGGCTGCATAGTTTTCTAATTATCACACATGAAGCGGAGTTGCCCTTTAAGACAAAGGGGCCCTGCAATCATATTTAAGCGTCTACCTTTTTTGCGGTTTCCAAGTCTCTTGGGGTTCAGGCAAGCCAGCGGGCACGGAGAGAGTAACTAAATATCAGTGCGTCATATTTTAACCGGACGACGCGGAAACCTCTTCCACCGACGAGGGCGACCCGTGGTACCGAAAGCGCGCAAAATTTGACGTCTTTGGTCCTGGGCTTACTACTGGTCAGAGCCGCTAAAAGCTTTTTTTTAGTCGAAATACAAAATATAAGTGGCGCGAACTGTTTCAATTACTGATAAAAGTAGTTTTTGTTCAGTATTTTAGATCAGAAAAGAAACAAATGCAATTTATAAAGTACGGAAACAAGAAATGACCCGTCGACATACCCGCCACCAAGCGGTGGAAAAGGCGGCGCATACTAGAAAAGAGTAGTGGGATCAGGCGCCGACACGGAAAGGTGCCGGATGTACGTGACGGCGCTGCGGTCGTTTACGGACTGGAGGATCCGACCGGCTCCGAGTGTTCCGAAGGCGTTCGGCGAGAAGCTTTGTCTTGCGGTTTGGCCATTTCGCGGTATGGCAGCGCGAAGTGGCTCCCATTCTGAACTGATCTTTACCCCGTGTTTTCTGCCGTTTGTGCCAATGAAGTGTCATGCAGAATTAGTGCTTAATCGCGCAACAAATGCAATGAGAGCCGCTCTGGCTGCCCGCTGTATGCAGCCTATCCAGAAGACGCTTTAGTGGCGCCCTCTCGCGCCGTCAACAGGGAGTGCGGCAGCCGTGTGCGCTCGCCCTGAGCTCACTATCTCTTTTCTAGTTCACGGCCACTCAAGCAACCAAGGACGTCATGAGGGAGGTTATTTTTTGCTTGTTTTTGTAATCTTAATGTGCCTATAACTTTTAAAATAAAGCGAAATTCGAGAAAAGAAAAGTTACATTAAGTTACTACGATTAGTGCGCTCAGGTTTGGTGCAAATTAAAACCAGTAAAAAAGTGCTTGCAGGGCCCCTTTACTACATGCATTTAGGGTGTCACAGATACCCAGGCTTGATCTAAAATGGACCGTAAACGGCGGCGCCGTTACGTGGCAATTTAAACTTTTCGTGAAAAATGAATTTCGCAGGTCGGTTTTATTATACAAAATTACAAAGCTTAGCTCCCTTGCTGTAAAAAAATAGTGCCAAAGAACTTGCCAGATCAACGGCGGGCGGCGACGCAGACGAGCAAGTCGAGTGGCGGGGGACGTTTGGCGCAAGCATTGATATGTGGCGCTGCCCGCTTGTTCCGGTTTGCTTTTAAAGAAATATCGAAGGTGCTCGGGTAGACCGTTGTCTATTGATAGAAACGCAATCTCTTTGTTAATCTACAGTCGGCCACAAAAGTTTGCCTACCACGCGAATTGTGGTCGAGCTGCATGGCCGCGCAAACTTGCGGCTCGGGGCCTGTGGTCGAGACCCGTAGTGTGCGGGTAAGGTGAAACAAAGTGTAGAAGTGTGCGCCTTCTCGCCAACGCCAATTCGTGCGGCACATATACATGAAATATGCCGAGGTATTTGTTTCATCAATATTGATTTGTCTATGTCGTCGCTGCCGTTTGTTTAGTCAAAACTGAGTCTCTGACGCACAGTCGCGAATATTTAACTGGCTTGGCGCCGCCACCCGCAAGATGGCGCGGCTGTCATTTCATTGCGCAGAACCATTTCCAATGAATCGGAAACCACCTCATAAGATTACGGTTTCGTTCCGGTTTGAATTCACTATCAAATGTTTGGTTTCGGTTACAGTCTTGTTCCGGTTCAGTTAGCAATAACAGTTTTGCTCCA